CGGCCGCGCGGTTTTGGATTTCTGCTATTTTACTTATTAGCCCTGGAAGAATTTTTATTAAAAGTTAGATAGTTAAGAGATTGGTTTCTGTGCTCTGGAGTCGTGGCCGTGCCGGAGAGCCGCTCGTGGGGGGCAGCTGGCGACCTCGGTCGGGCGTGAAGGACGGCCCATTACGCCCCCCTTCCCACCTCATGGTATTTTTAAATCATCAAGAGAATCCATATTCATCTTAAATGTTCACGTTTCAAAGTCCAGGAAACATAGGCCACTAACATACTTCCATGGCAGTCAGCTCAAACAATTCTTTCTAAATCACTTTGCACTTGGAATGATATGAGCCTTCCTTATCTCTTTAAAGTCTTTCACAAAATCATAATTTCTGTAGAAATCTCCATGTGTTTTCTTTCGTGGTTCAACCACAACAGACTTATACAAAGTTGCGATCCCATGGCTAGAATGACTGTCCAGCAATATGATATCAAGACCCTTGGCTGGAAGCCCACATACCCGAGATTTCGCCAGTGGGTGCAGGATGTTATGACAGTTATCCACTCAGTATGATGGCCATCTAGAATGAAGGAGAAATGGCTGGTCAAATGAGAATTCTTACACCAATCTTCTTCCCATGTCATGAAACTTGAAACATTCTTATTCCTCCCGGGTAGCTTATAGAGTTCCTCTTTATTCATGACGTTCTGTGGTCAGTCGGCTGTGGCTAAGATACTTTCCCCCATTTTTTCATGCATGGTGATCTGTGGACACTTTCTCTTTCTCCTTCATGCCTTTCCTTAGCACTGGAAGAGCACAGCTATCAACAGTTCTCTGGGCATCAGAGGTTTGTTCTATCTTCCTGGAAAGGTATGGTGTGGATATGGGACATTTACCCATACCTTAGATTCTTTTCTTCAACTTTCAGCATTCTAACTTGCAAACCAAGCAATACTTGCTGCTTCATTTTCTCTTTGTGCAGCACCATGGAAAAGTTCTTCCTCCTAATCTTTAGCTTCATGAATAAATGTTTCAATCACTGGCCATTCTGTTACTCAGCCTATAGACCGATCCAGTTATTGTAGTTATTGTAATTTAACAGCTGGGGAGATTGCACAGGGGTTAAAGCATTTGCCTTGTATGCGACTGACCTGGTTCGATCCCCAGTACCATGTATTGTCCACTCGAGCTCCACCAGCAGTGATTTCTGAGCTCAGAGCCAGAAGTAAGCCCTGAGCACAGTCAGGTGTGACAGTCAAATCAAAACAAAATGAAACAGAAAACCAAAGAAGTTGAATTTCATAGGTAGCATCTCAGGTGAGTAATTTTCATCGCTCTGTACTCGAGTCTATTTGGTTTGGGTGGAGGGAGTGTGTGGTTCACTGTCTGACTTGAGATGCTTATGGCTGTTCCTCCGCATTGTTTCCCTGTTGTTCCTTTGTTCTCACAATGCCATCGATCCTCCATGTCTGATGATAGTTGGTAGTGGGTATATCCTATGAGCTGGTATTTCTTGTTAGATTATCAATGCTTCTCCAAGTGTTGCTTTGTCAGTAATTTCAATTTTTGGCTACATTTGTACATTTTTCTTTCATTATCATATTTTAATTGCATCACTCTAAGATGCATAGTTACAAAGTTGTTCATAATTGGGTTTCACTCGTACAATGTTCTAACACCTGTTCCTTCACCAGTGTACATTTCCCACCACCAATGTCCCCCAGTTTCCCTCGGCCCATTCCCTGGCCCCCTCTTCAGCCTGTCTCTATGGCAGATATTTCTCTCTCTCTCTCTCTCCTTTTGCAACAAAAGTACTGAAAGATTAACATGTATATCCATTTATCTCCTTTCAGCACTCAGTTCTTGTCCAGAATCATTATTTCCAGCTATCATTGTCATAGTGGTCTAGTGATCTCTCTCTATTCTAACTATGGACTGGCTCTTGTTTCTACTGTCCTTGGGTAGTTTTAAATTTTTTTTATCATAAATTTTATTTCTTTTAAAATATAAGGAAACACTAAGAGCTCCCTAGGGATTCAGGGCCCGTGAATGTGTGTAAGCATGACTCCATCTGGGACCAACTAGAGGACCACTAGCAGTGGAGCAGTGCCAGGGATGGGGCAGACCTGTCTGTTAGCTGGTGTTGGCACTTGTTTTGCTCTTGTCTAGGTTTAACTAAAAGTAAATGTAATGCACCTTCCTTTAGGCCTGATGATCAGCCTTGGGAATCCCACTGCCAGGTGTGGGGCCCGGGGAGTGGGGACAGACTGTCCAACTCTGTTGAGCCTCTCACCAGGTCACCAGGTGAGGAAGAAGTAAGCGGGAGGAGCACCAGAGTTGATCAGAATGAGATGTTTTGTGTGTGCCTAGGAGAGTCCATGCCACCCACCATCATCCCCACATCCACTTTTAGTTACTCCAAAGAGGAGGAGGACATGCATGGGATCAGAACAGGGTCTGGGTAGTAAAGGGGAAACCCAGTTGGCGGGAATCTGCACAGGGGGATGGTGATGGAGGCACCAGGCAGAGACCATGGCTCCAGGTGAAGGCCTAGTGGGAACCTTCCCCCACGGGGTTTCTAACTAGATTTAGTCCACTGGTTGTTTCATATATCTTTTGACAAGGACAGTCGGAGACGTTACTGGGCCCGCTCGAGCAACTGGATGAACAACGGGAGGACAGTGTTTGTTTGTTTGTGTTTAGAAGATCTTTGTGGTAGGGGCTAGGTGGGAAGTCTCAGGGAAGTGATGTGAGGTCCTATTAGGGCATTTTCTTTCTTTCTTTTTAATTTTTTTAATTTTTAATGAATCACCGTGAAGTAGTTACAGACTTACAAACTTTCGTGATTATGTTCTAGTCATACAATGATCGAGGACCCATTCCTCCACTAGCGCCCATTCTCCACCACCAATGTTCCCAGTATTCCTCCCGCCACCTCCCCATACCACCCTACCTCCGTGGCAGGCACATTCTCTTTCACTCTGTCTCTCTCCTTTTGGGTGTTATGGTTTTCAATACGGGTACTAAGTGGTCATCATGTTCAGTCCATAGTCTACTTTTAGTACACATCTCCCATCTTGAGTGAGTCCTTCAAGCATCATTTACTTGGTGGTCCCTTCTCTATCTCAGCTGCCTTTCCCCCCAGCATGTGAGGCCAGCTTCCAAGCCATGGAGCAATCCTTTTGGCTCTTATCTCTACTATCCTTGGGTGTTAGTCTCCCATTATGTCAATTTATATTCCACAAATGAGTGTATTTGTTCTGTCTGTCCCTCTCTCTCTGACTCATTTCACTTAGCATGATACTCTCCGTGTCAATCCACTTATATGCAAATTTCATGACTTTATCTTTTCTAACAGCTGCATAGTATTCCATTGTGTAGATGTACCAAAGTTTCTTTAACCAGTCATCTGTTCTTGGACACTCGGGTTTTTTCCAGATTCTGACTATTGTAGATAGTGTTGCAATAAACATACAAGTGCAGATATCATTTCTACGGTAAGCATCTCTAGGATATATTTCCAGAAGTGGTATTGCTGGGTCAAATGGAAGCTCAATTTCTAATTCTTTGAGAAACAGTTAGGGCGTTTTAATCTCTGCTCCTACTGCATGCCTCTCTCTTCTCCCAGCAGACAGTGGTAGGCTCTGCAGGGAGCCCCAGTGACTGACTGGGAGCAGGAGCATATACAGGAGGGACGTGGGTGGGGAGGGGTCTGTAGGTGTTCACACCCACTGCACGAGGGAAACAGGAACATCCAGGGGGAAGGAGAAGCAAACTCCGACATGACGTATACAGTGATCACTCTTGGTGGTACTTGGGTATCATTTGGGTTGCCAGGGATTGAATCGCAAGGCAAACGCTCTACTCACATTTTGGGACTGGGGCCATGGTGTAAAGGGCTGGAGCCCATGATTTGCATGCAGGAACCCAGAATTCATTTTTCAGAGCTCAGATATTCAAGAAATGACATGTCAGCACCAGAACCGGGAAAGTCTGCCTGGGAGATTCATTTCTGGGAACAGCCATAAGATTGATTTCGGACATGCTGAGTATGGGAACTCTGGGGAACCAATAAACAGTTCATCTCCTCCTTTCAGTTACAGACAGAATAAAAGAACAAAAAGGGCTGAGAGAAAGCACAGGGGTTAGGGTACACGCCCAGCAGCCACCCATCTTGTGTTCAATCCAGGCACCACATGGACCCTGAACATCACCGGGTACAATACTGAAGCTCCCCCAAACACCATTAGCCGTAGTTCTGGTGGCCCCTAAGGGATAACCGAGTGATCTGGGCAATGTCCAATACTGTAGGGCCCTGTAAGCACTACATTCTTAGGCCCTGAGAGCCTACTGGGCTGAGTATTGCCAGGAGCGACCCAGAAACCCCCTGAGCCCCAACTGAGAGTCCTCCCCTCTCCCCCAAAAGAGTAATAAAAGAAGTAGGGCAAATAATAGTAGGTGTGTGCATGTGAGCAGGGGCGAACCCAGCTCAGACTGATAGCAGGCACTCCCCACTCCCAAGAGCCTTGATCACTGTGCCCACTGGATCCAGGAGCCCCCCACCCCCCAGGCAGAAGGGCTGCTGTGAGGGCTCACACTTGTGAGGACCCAAGTTCTTTTTCTCTCAGCAAAAGGCAGAGATGTGCTTGTCATAGGGACACTCCTTCCCTCTGGGGTGAGGCATGGAGCCATGAAGGCATCAGAGCACAGTGCTGGGGGCTGGGTGACACAGCAGGGAGAAGGCTCCTGGGAACGGGCTGTGGGCTGAGGGAGGAGGCCTGAGAGAGCTTTGGACCTGGAGGAGAAGGAGGGGAAGGGTGAGCACCCCTGGTGGGATAGGATGGGCGAGAGGGATGACGGTGAGGGAGGGGGTTGTGGGGAGAGGGGTATGGAGAGGAGACTGGCCAGGGGCTTGGCTGACAGATGGATGCGGGGGCTTCCCCTTAGTTATTCTCCACAGCTCACCCTGAGTCCTTGTAGTGAGTTCTAAGTGCATGTGACTTCTTCTACAGGGGATGCTGGTGAGAAGGGAGACAAAGGTGCACCTGGACGTCCTGGAAGAGTTGGCCCCACAGGAGAAAAAGGTATCCACCATTTCAGGACCCCTTCGAGAGTTGCAAGAGGGCCCAGCCGGGCAGAGGGTGGTATGGGTCGTTTTGGGGAGAAATGAGCTGGGCGAGGGAAAAGTGTTGCAGGAAGGTAGATGTGAAGCAGGAGGGGTCTCTTGAAAGCAGTGCTCTTAGTTCCCCATCCGCAGGCCTCAAGGAACAGAGTGCCTCACGGAAGTGCACATAGCTTCAGTCTCATCTACAAAATGGGTTCATTTGTGGGTGTTGCACCCATAAATGTAACCAAGAGGACACGCAGATGGTCATGGGTGTGTGCAGACAGCCTGGTGTGCAATAATGCAAGTGTGCAAATTAGCTATTGAGGTGGGTAAAAGAGTGCATACACTTGGATGGGTGTACAGGGCTCATGCTGTGGGTCCCTTCTTAACAGCAAGGGTCTCTAATCACCAATACTGCTTTTTCACTGGACAATGGCTCTGTCCTCTGCTTTCTGGAGCTGACTAAGGCATATAGGACATGCATGGGTGTGGAGTGATTGTACAGTAGGTGGTTGTCCAATTGATGTTGCATTATCATTAGGATCAACTCCCTTTTAGTGTCTTACTTCTTTAAAATAATATCATTAAGAACTTTCTCTGTACTTTCACATGATTCTATGAGAACAGTGTAGAGATTTAGTTAGCTAAACATTGAAAAGTTAGGTTATTTCTAGTTTAAAAATATGCAACAAACAAAGATAGTTGAATATGTATTTCAAGTTTATGCAGATTTTTTCTTTAAAAAATGAAAACAAACTTTTGTTTGTCTTTGGACTACTGGCTATACCCAGAGCTTACTCCTGGCTTTGTATTCAGTGATCACTCTTGGTGGTGCTTGGGGATCATTTGGGTTACCAGGAATCGAATCACAATTGGACATGTGCAAGGCAAACACCTTACTCACATTGTGGGACTGGGGCCATGGTGTAAAGTGTGGAGCCCATGATTTGCATGCAGGAGGCCAGAGTTCAATCCCTAACACTGCACAGGCTCCCAGACACCACTAGGAGGGACTCCTGAGCACCAAGCACTCTGGGTGTGGCCTCAAAGCAAATAAAAGCTTCAGAGGAGTAATGTATAACAAAACAAAATTAAAGATCACAAAGTTGATAGTTTCATTTAGGCATATAGTATTTCAGGACCAATCTCACTACTAGTGTTTCCCTCCACCAGTGTACCCATATTCCACCCCCACCTCACCTTAGACTTGTAATGTCTATATACTAGTCTATATGTGGACTAGTATGTCCATATATAATGTCTAAATACTGGAGCATATTTCAGATGCAGAGTAGTCCGTCATTACTACCAATGCCAGGTACTGATTTTTATTTGCTTTCCCCCCCTTGAATTAAGTTAACTAAGAACAAGTGAGGGGCTGTAGTGATAGTACAACAGGTAGGGTGCTTGCCTTGCATGTAACTGATTCAGTTTTGATCCCCAGCATCCCATATGATACCTGGAGCACTAGCAGCAGTAATCCCTGAGCACTGTTGGGCATAACTCGGAAACAAAACAAACAAAAAACAAGCAAATCATTCTCAGAGATTAAGGTTCAGATGTACAGAATCTATTCACAGAGAATAATCATTCTTTCTGGTTCTACCCTCCCATGCACCTTTCCCATGACTATCACTTTTTTAATATTTTTCCCCCTAGAAGCTACACCCAACAGTGTTGAGGTGTCAAGATCATTCCTGGCCGTGTGGCCCTGCTGGTTGAGTGCTCAGGCTGGTAGTACTTAGGCCCCCCCAGGGCCACAGTGCTCAATGCTAAGGATTGAACTCAGTAATTTGCTAGGCAAGTGGTCGACTGCTTTGCTTATCTTTTTTGACACACTTTTTTTCAATCTCGGCAAATATTTAATTAATTTATTTATTTTGGGGGTTCTGGGCCATATCCTGTTATGCTCAGGGATTACACCTGGTACTGTACTCAGGAATTACTCCTGGTGGTGTTCGGGGACTGCATGAGATGCTGGGGATCAAATCTGGTTTGACTGTGTGCAAGGCAAGCATCCAGCCCACTGTACTATCTCTCCGGCCCCTTTTTGCAAATATTCTATGTATGCAAATATTTTAAAAATACTGTCACTCTCCTCCTGTTGTTCATCAATTTGTTTCGAGCGGGCCACATTTATAATGGCCTTTGTACAAACAGTTGCATAATGTAGGTATTGTTCCACATTTTGCTTTTTTCACTTAACCACATCTTTGGAGGACACATAGATTCTTCTCATTTTGAATATAGTGACTGGACATTTTTTTTGGTGTAAATTCATCAGGATTTATCTAAATGCTCTTGTTGGGAGATTTACATTTTCCTAGGGGGTTGCTGCAGTGAATAATTCTACATATGTCATTAGAAAATGTGTATGAGCATAGCTTGAAGATAAATTCTTAGCAGTGTAGTTGCAGCATGAACATACATATGCATTTTGTATTTTAGTACGTATTTCCCTCCACAAGGATGGAATCAATTTCCTTTCTCACTGCAGTGCACAAAGACATTGTCCCTGATCCTCTGACACCCTCGCCAACTTAGAAGGCTCTTGACAGTAGTGAAATGCCATAGATTGATATTTCATCTTACCACTCCTTATCATGAATGAGTTGAATCAATATTTTTATTGTCTTTAATAGTCATTTGTATTTCCTTGTCTTTCTGGGTTTTATTTTTGAGGGGAGATGATCTTTTTCTTTTCTTTTTTATTTTTAAGACCCTATATGTGTGTTTTCCCTTCCTAATGTATAAGATACTTTGAACTTTCATTTTCTGAATATAGCTCTAGTTATTTCCATAAAATCATTCACTAAAAAAAGTCTGTATGTACCTATCCTGTTTGAAGTTGGGAAACATGAAACCACCAATTTTATTATTTTTTCCGAGGGTTGGTTTCACTATTTGGGTTTTTTGTGGTTCTACATAATTTTTATGAATAATTTCTATTTCTCTGGAGGATGTATTTGGGATGTTGATAGGGATTGTGTTGTATCTTTATATTGCTTTATGTAATATTATCATTTGGGGGATTTCTTTTTTGTTACACACCCAGCGATGCTCAGGGTCTACTCCTAGCTCTGTCCTCAGGGGTCACTTCTGACAGCACTCAAGGGACCATATATGGTGCCAGGGATTAAATCCAGATCAGTTGCATACAAGAACAATGCCCTACCCATTGTACTATTATTTGGCCCTGTAATATTATCATTCTAAATGTGTTAATTTTCTTCCCATCTATAAGCATATCTTCTTATTACTTTATGTCTTCTTCAATTTCTTTCAACAATGTCTTATAATTTTTATTCTACAGGTCTTTCACCTTCTTTGTTAAGTTTATTTCTAGATATTTCTTTCTGATGCTGTTAAATTTTTTTTCTGTTATAAATGTCACAAATTTTGCATATTGATTTTGTAGCCAACCACTTTATGGTGCTTATTGTTTTTAATGATTTTTTTTTTTTTTGCTTTTTGGGTCACACCGGTGATATACAGAGGTTACTCCTGGCTTTGCACTCAGGAATTACTCCTGGTGGTGCTCAGGAGACCATATGGGATGCTGGGAATCGAACAAGGGTTGGCCACGTGCAACGCCCTACCCACTGTGCATAGCTCCAGCCTCTCTAATGACTTTCTTATTGGAGATTTTAGGGTGTTTTTTTGGGGCGGGCTACATTATGTTTTCTGTAAATAGTAATAGTGTAAAAAGTTTTACTTTTCTTCAATTTTTTTTTTTTGCCGTTTAATTGCTCTGACCAGAATTCCAAAACTACATTGAGTAGTACTGATGAGAATTGACATCATTATCTTGTATCTGATTTTAGAAGAGCTTATAGATTTTCATCATGAGTCTTATATTTGCTTTGGATTTCACTTATATAAACTCTATTTTTTGTCCACACTAGGCAGTGCTTAAGACTTGCTCCTAGTTCAGAACTAAGGGATCATTCTTGGTGGTGCTTGGGTACCATATGTGGTGCTGGAATCAAACTTGGTTTGAATGCATGCAAGGCAAGCACCTTAGCCACTCTACTATTTCTATGGCCCCTCCATATTATAGAATTTACCATGCTGAGGTATGTTACTTCTACTCTCATTTTACTGAAATATTTATTTTTCACTATAAATAAATATTGAGGTCCCAGAGCAATAGTACAGCAGGTAGATTTATTTATTTGGGGGATTAATGTTATTTATTATTATTAAATTTACCACTGTTTTGTTGAATTGTTTTCTAAAATCTCTTTGTTTTTTTTTAAATTTTTATTTTTTAATATTATTTTTAAATTTGATTGAATCAGCATGAGATAGAGCATTACAAAACTGTTCGTGATTGGGTTTCAGTCATACAATGTTTCAATACCCATTCCTCCACCTGTATAATTTCCCAGAACCAATGTCTCCAGTTTCCTCCCCACCCCGCCCAGTCCCCTAAATAATTTTTTTCCAATTTCAGAGTTTCCAGGACTATGCTTAGCATTTGTCACAGCACTGGGGATTGGAATTGTGACCATGTGCTTGCAAGGGGGGCATCCTAAGACATTGAGCTGGTTTGATTCGGGCCTGGTTTGATAACATTTTGTTGCAGAATTTTCCAACAAGGCTCATCAAGCATATTGGTCTATAGTCTTGGGTTGGTGTGTGTGTGTGTGTGTGTGTGTGTGTGTGTGTATACACGTGCACACGTGCATGCATGTGTATTCCTTGTCTGATATTACTATCAGGGTAATATTGGCCTCATAAGATGCTTTTATTTTTTTCCCCTTTTTATTGATTCCCCCGGCAAGCTACCGAGAGTATTGGATATGCCAGACACAGTAACAACAAAGTCTCCAATGGAGACGTTACTGGGCCCGCTCGAGCAAATCGACGATCAACGGGAGGGCCTTTACCTTTACCTTTACCTTTTACCTTTATTGATTCACCGTGAGGTATGGAAACAAAAGTTTTCATGTTTGAGCTTTGATCATACAATCA